GCAGAGAGAACAAGAAGGATTTCTGACAGGGAGAAGAGGGTAGAGTTTCTTAGTGAGCTAAGAGTTTGCCTGTTAGAGAATAGTTTAAGGCAGGTGCTTCTACAGAGTTTGACTAGGAGAGTCAAAGTGGAGACCTGTATGCTTGTGTTGAGTTAGGACACAAGTTGTTTTATTCTCTTAGGGACAGAGTAATCTAGGGAAACATAGATACTCTGGGGGACAGCCAAGAGAGGCTTGTCAAAGAGACTCACTGCTACAAGGTACGGAGTAGAGTGAAGGAAATAGCTCATGTTAAAGAAAGGAAACTCAGTTTAAAGAAACCATTTCTTAAGAAGATTGTGCTTCAGTATCAAAATATGCTTGTGTACCTCATAGAAGTCAGTTGTATGTTTCAAAGATCTGAATAAACTTATTCTCTAGTTCACTGTTTAAACTGCTTCAGCATTGATTCATTATATAAGCTAAGTTCCAGTAATCTTCAACATCTTTACAATTCAGTCACTTGAAGGGAGCCAAAAGAAGGAACTGATGTATAAGAAGATTTACCTCAAGTATAACATCAAGTTAATTTCTCAAATTAAATTTTGAGTAGTGGCAGCAACCCTACCATTACACACTCACGTTTCCACAACACACAACAAAGAGCTTTGTGACAGGATTGTGTTAGTGTTCAGCCAGAACATAAATAAGTAAAATCTTTCAAAGTGGTGGTCAGCTGTGAGATGTCTAACAGCTGAAGGAACGTGTGTGGGTGTGTGTGTGTCTGAGGGGATCTGTTAGTGAAATATTAGTTCAGGATCCTCTTTAGTCTTTATAGTAACCATGTGTGGGCATATTCTTATAACATAGGTACCAGCAGTGTGTCTTAAACTTTCAAATTGGTGACAGCAACGGGATCTGAGAAAGATCTCTATTCCGTAATTTTCGTTATATTGGTGTCAGCAGGTGGGATTAGGTGTTTTTACCCCCTGACTGAGTTGAAAGTCCCTGAGTGTGCCCATAATTCTGTTATATGCTCCCTCTCTTCCATGTAAGATCTTTGGGAATCATGTTGATACATCTGCCTGCCATGTCTCGTTTAAAGATAAAAAGTCAGTAAAAAAATGACATTACAACCCCATCCCAAGCAAAGAACAAGGCACATTTAGGATGACTACTACAGCAAAAGGAATTTATATTAGCAAACTCAAGAAGACCCTGTTCTGCCAAAATCCTTTCCAGTCAAAGGCATTGGTGTTTAAAATGTTTAAAATATAGAATCAATTCCAAACATAATGATAGAGTTGATAGTCTATGAGAGTGTGCCATAAAGTAGGCAGTGTAGACCTACCAGGCTGACCTGCTTCAGGGTCCAAGTCAGGGGCCTCGTAACAACTAGCACGGGGCTTCATTTGTCCTAAATCTGGCACTGCTGCTATATGTGCTTGACATGCCCCACAAAGGTATGGGCTAGAAAGCTTGGAGAATTGCACTTTCCTTGCTTTTAATGTTCCATACTTCATTTAGGATTATAGGACAGAGTTTTTGGAGAAAGTCTACTCAAATTCTGAGGGGAGGGGACTATCCCTCCCTCTGTCAAGTACAGGCTTTCGCAGGCCCCGTCTACACTGCCATATAATCCACATTATCTTCTCTGAATTATATGAATTTAAACTGCCATATAATCCAACTCAAGGCAGATAATCTGGACGTTATATGGCTTACTTAATTACGTAGGTAATCCCTCGTTGTCTGAGTAGGATTGTCTTCCAAGATTGGTGTACTGGCGGTGGGTCCGTAGGTGACTGCGGAGCCCTATTCTTGACCTGCATGTTCTCCCACAATGAGTCCGCAAAAAGCGAAGCATAAAGTAGTAAGGGAACACTGTGTTCATAAATTTACCCTTTTGATAGCCAACCATATGGGCTGTCTATGGAAATGATATTATCAAGTGCTCACAAATGGGTATTGGTTTCCAGCTCGAGGGCATTGGTTTCCAGCTCGAGGGCATTGGTTTCCAGCTCGAAGGTAGTCTCTGGCGTGGTTGGCTTGAAGCGCCTTCCTCTTGGCATGTCTCTCTCTTTCACCCTCAATTCATGCCTCTCCGAATTCTACAGCAATGCTGGTCACAACTGACCTCTAACTGGAGCGCTCAAGGGCCAGGGCTTCCCATTTCTCAGTGTCTATGCCAGAGTTTTTAAGGTTGGCTTTGAGCCCGTCTTTAAATCTCTTTTCCTGCCCACCAACATTCTGTTTTTCATTCTTGAGTTCGGAGTAGAGCAACTGCTTTGGGAGACGGTGGTCAGGTATCCAGACAACGTGGCCCGTCCAGCAGAGTTGATGGTGGAGGACCATTGCTTCAATGTTGCTGGTCTTTGCTTCTTCCAGCACACTGACATTTGTCCGCTTGTCTTCCCAAGCGATTTTTCGGAGGCAACGCTGATGGAATCGTTCCAGGAGTTGCATATGACGTCTGTAGACAGTCCACATCTTGCAGGTGTATAGCAGAATTGGGAGGACAATAGCTTGGTATCCCTATGGATGTCCCGGTCCCCAAACACTGTCTGCTTCATTTAGAAAAAGGCTGCACTCGCAGAGGTCAGGCAGTGTTGTATTTCAGTGTCAGTGTGGACTTTTGTGGCGAGGTGGCTACCAAGGTAGCAGAAATGGTCAACATTTTCTAATGTTACACAATTAAGCTGTATTTCTGGCAGTGTAGAAGAGTCTATAAATCCCACCAACTACAACTCCCAAGTGTCAAGGTCTATTTTGCACAAACTCCAGCAGTGTTCAAATTTGGTCATCTTGACTATTCGTGCCAAGTTTGGTCCAGGTCCATCATTGTTTGAGCCCACAATGCTCTCTGGATGTAGGTGAACTACAACCCCCAAGCTCAAGATCAATGCCTACCAGACCATTCCAGTATTTTCTGTTGGTCATGGGAGTTCTGTGTGCTAAATTTTGTTTCAGTTCTGAACTCCATGTTCAGAATAATCTAGTCCCAGCAACTACAACTCCCAGATGACAAAATCAACCCCCCTCCACAACCTCACCAGTATTCAGATTTGGACTGAATACTTGGGTATTTGGGCTAAATTTCATCCAGTGATTGAAAATACATCGTGCATATGAGATATTTACATGACAATTCATAACAGTAGCAAAATTACAGCTATGAAGTAGCAATTTATTTATGTATTTACGGTATTTCTATGCTGCCTTTCTCAGCATGAAGGCAATGAAAATAATGTTATGGTTGAGAGTCAGCACAACATGAGGAACTGTATTAAGGGGTTGCAGCATTAAGAAGGTTGAGAAACACGGCAAAAATGAGAAAATTGCTGTTGTTTTCACCCAAAAAATGTTTATTCAGGAAAAAATTATATTTTAGGGATGAAAGGGACATAATAGGTTACATAGAAAGATGTTTAGTGAGAAAAATTAATTTAACCATCTATTATATAATAAGGATGGAGATGAATTGTCATGGCTGATGTTACATATGCTGTGCACCCCTGTCCTCTCTCCCTTCTTATAGGGTAATAGATGAAAAGCCCCAACAAGCTCATCGAGGGAATGGAAATTTCAAACTCTACTTGCTTTGCCCAAATACACTTCCAAATAGATTACGTGAACTAAATGAAATGCTGACCAAGGTGAACAACAGTCTGGAAATCCAGCCTTTGTGCTTTTTATCTAGAATGCCTAGGTTCAGCCTCTGACCTGGCTGTGCAGTGTTCCCTCACTTATCGTAGGTTTTTACATTCCAGGACCACCCGCGAAAAGTGAAAATCCACATAGGGACACTATATATAGTAGAGCCCTGGTTATCTGACTCTGCTTATCCAGCACTTTGTATTATCTGCCGCCACCACCTTTGCCACCCTCCCTGCCCTTCCTCACTCGCTCCCTCATCCTTTCCTTCATTGCTGAGGAAAGTTCTGGTTCTGCCACTTCAATCCATCCTGGTGAGTGAATGAGAAAGGGAAGGTAGCAGCGGTGGCAGAAGCAGGAGCCTGGAAGAGCTGGCCAGGCTCCTGCTCCTGCTGCCACGTTTGCCACCCTTCCCGCTTGCTCACCCCCTCCCCCCCTTGCTCACTACTCACCGGGCCAAGCCCTGGTTCTGCCGCCAGGACACGGCTCAGTGAGAGAGCAAGCGAGGGAGGGCGGGTAAGTGAGCGAGTGAAGGTGGCGGCAAGGGCAGCAATGGCAGCAGGAGCCTGGCCAGCTCCTCCAGGCTCCCCCTTCTGCCTCTGCTTCTGCCTTTGTGGCCCTCCCTTGCTCACTTGCTCACTCACCCGCCCTCCCTCACTCGCTACTCAGCAGACCGGGTACTGGTGGCAGAACCAGAACTTGGCCCGGTGAGTAGCAGCGAGCAAGAGAGGATGGGGTGAGTGAGGGAGGGATGCAAAGGCGGAAGCATCGGTAGAAACAGGAGCCTGGAAGGTGCGGCCAGGTTCCTGCTTCTGCTGCTGCTTTGTGGCTCTCCCTAGTTTGCTCACCTGCCCTCCCTTGCTCGCTCGCTACTCACTGGGCCACATCCCAGAGGCAGAACCAGTACTTGGACCGGTGAGTTGCAAGGAAGGAAAACCGTGAAACAATGAGTCCGCAAAAAGCGAAGCATAAAGTAGTAAGGGAACACTGTGTTCATAAATTTACCCTTTTGATAGCCAACCATATAGGCCGTCTATGGAAATGATATTATCAAGTGCTCACAAATGCAGTGACCTAGACATAGATCTTGCTGCAGCTAGAAGATGCTGATTGTATCAGTCAGCTCCATACCGCTCAAAATGTATTGTGAGTTTTGGCCTTATATGTCCCTCTCACATCTATAATTACCCCCCTTTTTTTTGTGCGGCTAGCGAGTGAAATTCTTGACCTAATTGTGGTTGGACCAGATATGTGCTATGTTTGGGGATAATATGAGTCTCTTGTAACGCGATGACATCATACAAGCCTTTTTTCAAAGTGTTAAATATCTGTTTTCTTTTATTAGGGGAGTTCACTAATAAAACATCACTCAGTGTATTTCCATAGCTAAAGGGGGATTTGAAACTTGACCTTTCATAGAACTAGTCCAACCCTCAATTCACTGCACAGTTAGTTCCCCTATATCCATCCATAACAAGATTTTTTTTATTTGAACAATAGGTACAATAACACAAAACAGGATGAAACAAAATTACCATATTTTCTGGCCTATAAGACTACTTTTTAACCCAAGAAAATCTTCGCAAATGTCAAGGGTCGTCTTATAACTGGGAGTAGCCTTAATCGCTGGGAGTCGTCTTATAGAGCGGATGCTGAAACTTCAAATCCGGATTGGTGAATCTGTGGTTGCTGCATATGGTGGGGGAAGCTCAAAAATGGCAGTGGCCATGTCCCTGCTGTATGCAGCAACTGTATGAAAGCACTAAGGGTGACACTGTACAAGTACGGTAGAAGAAAATCCATTCATCAGGATTCATGGACTTAATGCAATCCTGATGGTGATTTGAAGGGGCGCCTCACTGAGAAGGTGTAAGTGAAGGGCGGAGCAAGCTGCAGGCATCCGGGGCGCCCGGAGTATGGAAAAAAGAGATAGAGTGGCTCTGGGCCCAGAAAAACACACCTTTTTTTACCTGTCTGGCCTGCCCTTGTATCCTATTACCATACCTTCTCCTATGACTCTCAGATCATGGTCCTGAAGACTGCAGTGAAGCGGTGCAGGTGCGCATGTGCGGGATCTGAGAGGCAGAGGAGGTACAGTGATAGCAAAATTACTTTATTGAAATCAAATCTGATGCTTTTTAATTTTTTATTTGGTGTGCTTTGGAAGAGGGGTAGTCTTATACGGTGAGTATATCCCAAACTTTATATTTTAACTGGAAAATTTGGGGGTCATTTTATATGCCTAGTCGTCTTATATGACAGAAAATACAGTAATTTGGCACTGAGCTATGTCTCAGATTTGCTAGAGGTTCTAGAGGTAGAGAAGAGGTCTGAGAACATCAAATTAACTGAAGGGGGAAATTTGCTTTAAATATGCAGCAATGAATAAGAAGTCACTTTAATTATTCTTGAATGTTTTATGATTAACTATTGCGAGGAATAGCACACACTTTATAAGGGCGGGGTGGCAATGTTATTCCCCTGGCAGGTTCTTCAGTGAATTCCTTGACTCCTGGTGGAAGCTGGAAACGGAATACCCTCAGCAGGCGGGTCAAGAAGATAAATAGCTCCATCCTGGCCACATTTTCCCCCAAGCACGACCGAGGCCCTGCATGGGGAGACAAAGGCAGGGGATGAGTATATATTCAATTGAGCAAATAAGGATGAAGCAGAAAAATAGACTATGAATGCATAAGGATTGATCATAGAATGATAAAACCATGCAGTTGGAAGAGGCCCCAATGGGTAACCCGTCCAAGCCCATGTCACAAAATCAAAGGACATCAAAATCAAAGATACGGTTATGTGTTTTGTTTACACTGTAAGTTGTTAATGTATGTAAATAAAAAACTACAGAATAAAAAAACCCAAACAAACAAAATCAAAGGACTCCTGACAAATGGCTAGACACATATAATCCAGTTCAAAGCAGATAAATCTGGATTTTATATGATAGTGTTGCTGAGGTCCCAGGTCTCCCAGGTCCCTTCTATACTGCCACATAATCCAAATTATTAAATCAGATAACCCACATTATCTCATTTGAACCAGATTATGTGAGTCTACACTGCCATATAATCCAGTTCAATGCAGACCATCGGTACTTGATATGGCCGTGTGGTAGAAGGGGCCTCATTTCACACAAAGCATTATATGCACTTCAAAGCCAGGCAACAAAATTTCCACAAAAGCAAGTCCTTTGTGAGGACTTTGTGAGCATCAGTGCTCTGCTTCAAGCTGATTTTCCTATGTAACCATCCGCACGCACAGCGAAACTGCTTTGAAACTGCATGACATGATCAGTGTGACCGTTTTCATCCCTGGTGACAGGCCAATGCCCTAAAGCAAAAGCTAAAGTCTTCAGAGAGACAAATATCTGCCGGTTTAGATCCCAATGTATGTGTGTGTGTACGCGCGCTCATGCATTCCCTGCTCCAAATTGGATGGCAGTTCTACAATTTTGAATCTGGTGTAAAACAGTTATTTGTAGCATTTACAACTTCCAGAAGGGCCCAATTGAAAGCAGCGAGGATGAACTGCATTGAATTGAGGGGGGCGAAGCAATAGGCAAGTTACACATTTGCATATAGCGCAAAATCCCTGAGGGGCACTCTTGAGACACCCCCGCTTACACTTGAAAATCACCTAGGGTTGGCCCTACTTCCACCTTATTTCCAAGGTCATCACTGTTGGTTAGGATCAGATCTAAAATAGCTGATCTCCTTGTTGCCTTTTCCATCTTCTGGATTATGAAGTTGTATGCAAGGCAACTGAGGATTTTTTTGGACCTGATATTCTTAACAGAGTTTGCCTTGTAACAAATATCCAAAGAATTAAAATCTCACATCATTATTAAACCTTTCTGAATGAGTAGTCAAGTCATCTGTTCCAGTAAGGCACCATCAAAATCCTCAGTTTGGTTTGGAGACCTGTAGTAGACTTCCACAAAGACATCCAAGCAGTTTCTTTCCCCCTAAATTTTACCCTGGTGCTCTTAAACTGGCTTCCAGCATTTATGTAACGGATATCTTCATCTATTTAAACATCCATGACATAAAGTGTTATACCTCATCCATTCCTGTGTGGTCTATTTCTACATTACAGTCATGAGGTTCATCCTATTAGGTTTCCACCCTCTCAAGTAATCCCTCAAATGCAAGTTACAAGAGAAGGGTTTCTGCCTAAACATTGGGAATAACATTGAATATAAAAGCTGCTCAGGAGTGTAACAGGAGGGTGGTGAACTTTCCATTATTTGAGGTCAACTAACAGAGGCTGGTATCTTTCAGCTTCATTTTATTTAACGGTGCCCCAACAGCAGGCAATCACAGTACTTTGTTTTTTATAGGTCCAGATCTTATTCCAAAAACTTCCCGAAATACTCGTCCATACATAATCTAATTTGTTGTGGTCATGTGTCTTCAAATCAATTGGACTTACAGTAACCCTGAGGCTAACCAATATCAGGGATTTTTGAGCAAGATTTGTTGAAGGAATTGGGTTGCCTTTGCATTCCTCTGATACCAAGAGTCTGTGAACTGCTTGAGGTCATCCAGTACTTTTACCTGTACTAAATCCCAGAAATTCTTTTCTAGTGACAAAATTTCCATCCTTGTCCAAAAAATGGTTGGGATTAAATTTGTTTGGGGTTTCCCAGTACTCATCATCAATAAGAGCAGAGCGTATATTGGGTGCAATGAATGTCCCCTGAAAGAAAGAAACAATTAGCAGACAAGTAAAAATGCACAGTCAAAATAATTCGAGCTTTATCTTTAGGACAAGCACAGCTGAAGCAGCTATGAGGGGGTGGGGTGAACAAGCCCAACAATACAGTTTAAACTCAAGACCAAAAACAGCTGTGGGGGGAAATCTTTTTTTTTTAAATATCTTTATTAGAGAGTTTTGCATACAAACATGGTTAAAAAGGGGCTTTGGAAAAAAAGGGGAAGGGTAGCGAGGGGTGGGGTAGGGCATTGGGCAGCATAAGGGGGGGGAGTGTGCCGACTCTTCGAGACGTGGTGGGGGGTAGGGAAGTGGAGGGGACACATCGTGGGAAGGGGGGAGGGAAAGACTTTAAAACTACAGTACTTCCAGGTAAAACAGAATCCAACTGGCAAGCCTCTGGAAATCCAGAGAGATCCCTTCAATAGAACAATGGACGTTAAAGGTGTATGATGTTATGAATATGGACCTATTGACAGAGAGATTAACAGCTAATAGTGACAAGAGGAAAATCACAGACTGGAGTAACTTTATAGACTATCTAAAGAAGAAGAATTAAGATTTAACGAAGTTGTAATGTACCTCGACTAACGCTATGCTAAACAAAACATTGTATAATAGAAGGGGGAAATCTTTTTTTAAAACATAAGCACAGGTTTGAACTGCTTTCTGTGATAGGTTACAGTGCCACTTTAAAGTTCTGACCTTCAGGCAGACTTAGACAGGGCCACAGAAGAAAAACGGACCTCTCCTTGCTCACTGCCGGCACACCTTGGCAGAAGCCTTCAGCAAGGTATCCTGTGAACTAGCACCATGGTTTATAGGGAAGGGCATTCGGCCATCTAACTCAAATAGTTGAGCATCCACACTGGCATCCACACTGGCAAAAAGAATGAAGTGAAAGCTCACTTTATCATCCTCAGCCCGACACTGGCCTTCTTCTGCTACTGCATTGTGGGCATCTTGAATTGCCTTATTGTTTCCAAGACATTTTGCCCTCTCATCTGGAGAGAGGTCAGCAGAATGCTTGGGTGATCCAAAAAAAAAAAAAAAGGTTCAAAACTCATTTCAGCGATTTGATTTTGAAATGATTTCTGAAATTTTCTTGGAAAAAAGATCGGAAATATCAGAAATCCGAATTGCTTCGTTAATGGAAGGTGCCCCTCCTTCCTTTGTTTTCCCAGCCGATTTTAACATTTTTGTCCCTGACGGGGATTTGAACCTGGAGAGTTCTGTTTGCAAGGCGGGAGCATTGCGAGTAGGCTATTTCCCAGCCATTGAGTTGGCCTTCAAGCAAAGGTGTGCTTAGCCACGCACACCTCGTCCCTCTGCATCGCCGCTCGCTGCCAGGGAACGAAAACTGCGAGATTTTAAAACTGTTTGTTAGGCTTTGCCAAATTTATAGTTCTGAAAATCAAAATGATATAACAGTTTTAAAATCCCGCAGTTTCCCTTCCCTGGAGGTGAACAGCGATGCAAAGAGGGATGAGGTGGGCGTGGCTAAGCACAGCTCTTCTTGAAGGCCACTGGGGGCATGGCCTCAAAGAAGACCTGTGCTTAACCACGCCCACCTTGCCCCTCTTTGCATCATCGTTCGCCGCCAGGGAAGGGAAACTGTGGGATAATATAACTGTTTTAAAATCCCCCAGTTTTCCTTCCCTGGCGGCGAGCGGTGATGCAGAGGGACGAGGTGGGCGTGGCTAAGCACAGCTCTTCTTGAAGGCCACCGGGGAAGGGAAATTGGGGGATTTTAAAACTGTTATATTATTGGTTCAAAAGGGAATTTAATCTGAATTAATTGTGATTTAAGAAGCTTCCGAACAAACTTGACCAAGCCTAGTCAGCAGTGGTATTAAGGAACCCTTTCAGTGCAGACAGTATTTTATCTTGGTTGTTAGCAATTGCATGAATAAGGCCAATAATTCCACATGAATTACTGGCAGTCTGCTTCAGAGAATAGACTTTTGGACTTACTTCTTGACCCTTTATTTGTCGACTTTCTGAAGTATTCATGCTTCGCAGTAAGGGGAAAAAGCAGTAACAGTGCATAAGCTGGATTGGGTACTGCATTTAAGGAATCCTCCTCAAACCCTAGCACATCCACATACCGCCAGTCAGGGGCAATTCCTAGGTGGTACAGCACTTTGATCAGCATCTCAAGATTGATCTCCATCGGTTGCCACACCATTGTCTCACTTGTTTAGACCACATCTTTCTTTTCAACTGCAACAGCAGCGACACCACACCTGCAAAGGACCCTCCGCTCTCAACATACACACACACACATCTCTCCCTTAGAATTGAGATTCAGTGGAAATGGTCTGCCTGAGAGCCTATCATAACCTAACTATGTATTTTGCAGTTGCTGAGATGCTTCCATAATATAAATCTACACTCACCTAACTAAATGATAGTCGTGTTACATTATTCTTCTAACTCCAATTGTTTTGGACTTCAACTCCCAGAAATTCCAGCCAGCTTACCAGCTGTTAGGAATTGTGGGAGCTGACATCCAAAACAATTTGAGCACCAAAGGTTGGGGTAGGGTTCTAACCGAGATGGACTCTTCCAGTATTTGGAGAAAGCTTGGGAGGAGTTAATCTGACCTCTTCCTTGAGGAAAGCATCACAGGATTTTGTGATTATATGACAGCAGTGCTTCCCAACCTGTGGATTTCCAAGTGTTTTAGCCTACAACTCCCAGAAATCCCAGCCAGTTTGCCAGCTGTTAGAATTTCTGGGAGTTGAAGGCCAAAACATCTGGGGATTCACAGGTTGAGAACCACTGCTGTAAAGACTTGCTGAAATGATCAGCAACTGAGATCTCATGATAACGGTGTCTGGAAAAAATAGCTCTTTGGTAGCAAATAATGTTGTACCATTTGTACTCTTGTGCTGGATCTTGGCTCTATCACCAATAATGAACTCTGACCTTGGCTCCTGCAATCTGTCCAAGACCCTGTAGTATCCTGAATCCTTGACTCTAAATTTTGACCTCCTGGTTTGATTTATGGACTTGGACATCAATGTGTATCCCTGACTATCTGGTTTGACTTTAGAACTCTGACTTCAGTTTGTACTCTTAACTTTTGGTCTTGTTTTATGAACTCTAATAGATGATCTCCTGGCTTCTGACTATTGGACTTTGACCTTGGCTTTTGTGTATTCTTGCACCTGACCTGGCTCTATCGTATTTGCCTTGTCTGCAGTACTTGGACTCTTAACCTTAAGACTTAAGACTTTAGTTTTCTTTATAAGTCAAAATAATCTTGGCTTACCTTGCTTTTGTTTAAATAGACCTTAGCCCTGCTACCTGGGGAGCCTCGGAACAAGGTGGGGACAAATAGTTATGGACTATCCAAGAATGTCCAAAACATGGTCAAAATTCTTCTTATTTAGTCATAACTAGAATAGAACCATTTGGCCAATTGTTGGATGACGAGTTAGCACATAGATAAATCCAGAAGATTTAATAAGAAAGCAAGTATCACTTAGATGTCTTAGATATAGCGACATGAATGTACTGGTCATGGAAAATAAGCTTTCACATGGCAAGGCAGATATGCTATGATAGCCAAACTTGAAACCACATAAAATGTCAAATACAAGCTTCCTCTGAACAAATCTGAGCAGGGAAACCCCATGATGTGTTCACCTTAGGGTCCCCATAATTGGGAAACAACTTGAAGGCTCACATCAATCATGGAGTCTTTCTAGAAAGGTTTGTTTAGAGGAGATTTGCCTTTTCTTCTTCTGCATGAAACTTGCCAAAGTCACCCAATGGATTTCATGGTCAATTGGTGATTTAAATCCTGGTCTCCAGAATCACATTCCAACACTATTATCCTATACTAGCTCTGTCTGTGTGGATACATTTCTCAAAATGACATCCTTCGAACATCTTTGTTCATGGGATACAGAATGCAGCTAAAACTTCCATCTGTACCTTTGGGATGATGTAACCTCTCATGTGGACATCTGTTGTAGTTTTCCTTGAAACGCCCATTATTATGGGATATCTGTAACGCTGGATTTCATGAACCACTGCATGAGTATAAGGCATTTTTTTGTGGTCATCATAGCAGATATTAGAAGAACCCACAACATCTTCTATCTCCTTGATGATTTTATCTGAGGAAATATATGGAAATGGATCAAAGCTTTATTTCAAATATTTATTATTGTATCCACGAGTCTATCACAATGAATTTATTACATTTATATTCCACTTTTCCTCAAAAGAGTACATGGCCCTATGGGAATATGAACTTTTATACATCTCTTTGATTAATGAGAACTTTTAAAAAGCCCTGTCCTAACATTGAAACCATTTCATGAGGTGCAGAGTGGGGAGGAGAAAGGGGACAGGAGAGAGTCTCTGGCAGTTCCCCGGGACATGCCCCCTTCCATACGTAGGGACTGGCGAGTGCAGGAGGAAGGCAAGCACAGAGTTGAAAGAGACCCTCAAAGAGCATCCAATCTAACCCCCTTCAGACAGGAAGGAAGGCATAGTCAAAGCATCTCTGGATGGCCATTCAGGCTCTGTTTAAAAACTTCCAAAGAGGATGAATCACTGCAAAAGTGGAGTCCTGATGCTGTTTAAGGGTAGGGACTGTTATAATGGAGCCCCCAGTGGCACAATGGGTTAAACCATTGTGCTAGCAGGACTGCTGACCAATAGATCAATGGTTCGAATCCAAGGAGAAAAGGTTGAGCTCCCTCTGTCAGCTCCAGCTCCCCATGTGGAAGCATGAGAGAAGCCTCCCACAAGGATGGTAAAACATCAACACATCCAAGCGTCCCCTGGGCAACGTCCTTGCGACAGCCAATTCTGTCACACAAGAAGCGACTTGCAGTTTCTCAAGTCATTCCTGACACACACAAAAACTGTTATAATTTTTATAATTTGCACAATTTGTTGGTTGAAATGTTTCTAATTAAGAAAATAATCTGCTGACAGTGGTGTATATGATGAACCACACAGAGCTAGTCGTGGACCTGATATTTGTGTCATCTGTTTATTTCGTCTTTCCGTTTCATACCGTCCATTCAGATGGCACGAAACGGTACACCCCCTCTGGTATGGAAATATCAGTGAAATGAAAGGAAATTGGGAACGGTAACCGTTTTGTCGCTTGATTTTTGTCCCATTAGTGGCAATGGGCAGGCTTCCTACACTCCCCTTCCCCTCAGTTTTAGAGCTAGAGGGTCTCACCATTTCACTGATCCCCAGGCTCTCTTCAGTATTCATTTGAGTTGTTAGGGTTGGTGGGATAAACCAGCCCAAACCATTATCTTTTTAAATGGGTAGCAAGCCTCCCCTGTACTTTTCAACACACAGTAACTTGGAAAGAGACTCTCATTAAGAGAGTGTGTGTGTGGCCTGCAGGCCCAAAGTACCCACGACTGCCAAGGTTTACAGTTGAGCACCGAGTGCCTAGTAAGAGGTGCTCTGTGCTCCGCTTGGCGCTCAGTGCCCAGCTGCAAAGCCCTGTCGGTTGTGGGCACTTTGGATCCGCAGGACACATTCTCTCTTTTTCCCCCAGCATAAATTGTTTCATTTAGTACAGGCTCCTTTTTTCTATATCCACAGGGATAAACATATCCATTCTTCACCTTTGATATCTCCTGCATTCTTCCTTTGGGCAACTTTTCCTAACCTTGAGGCAAATGCTTCTTTTTTGCCATTATTCTCATACTTTCTGCAGAAAGTTCTCTTGGGAAGTCTGACTTGGCCACAGTGGTTAATGTTCTTGTTACATCAAGAATAGATTACTTCAAAACACTCTATGTGGGGTTGCCTTTGAAGACTGTTCAGAAGCTTCAAATAGTCCAGCGGCATACAGGGAGCTCACAACTCCCCTCTAATGCTACCTCCACTGCCTGCCTGTCTGCTACTGAGCACAATTCAAAGTGCTGGCTTTACCCTATAAAGACCTAAATGGTTCCGGTCCTGCTTACCTGTCCGAACGTATCTCCCTCTATGAACCATCAAGGAGGCTAAGATCTTCTGGGGAGGCCCTGCTCTCGGTCCCACCTGCTTCGCAAGTGCGGTTGGTGGGGACAAGAGACAGGGCCTTCTCAGTGGTGGCTCCTCAGCTCTGGAACTCTCTCCCCAGTGAGATTAGACTAGCGGCCTCCCTCCTGGCCTTTAGAAAGAGAACAAAGACAAGGTTATGGAACCAAGCTTTTGACTAGTAAAATAATGAAGTACAAGAAGCATATATGGAATATGTGCAATCAACATTTGGAGTAGTCCGGTCTACGAGTCGGATCATGTGATTTTAATGCTTTTATTAGGTGTTTTAATTCTTATATTTCATGTTTTAAATGTCCTTTGATTTTATTTTATGGTGAATTGTCCTATTGCTTTTATGCCTAGTTATATGTTGTTGATTTGAATTTTGGTTTATGTATGTCAGGCATTGAATTATGCCAATATTTTTGTGTAAACCACTTTGAGTCCACTCAGGGGTGAGGAAAGCAGTATAAAAATATTGTAAATAAATAAATAAATATTATCCTAAGTTCAGTAAACCTTTGCTATCAGATACTTTTTATTCATTTACCAGCCATTCTCTGGACTTTACAGGCCAATGGAGACTCCACCACAGACATCAGAAGATCTGCAAGACTGAGAACAAGCCACGAGAGTAAAGACAAAGATCCACCCAGAGGGAAAGTGTTCTTGCCATACATCAAGGGAATCACTGACCGCATAGGGAAGCTGATGAGGAAACACAATCTACAAACTAGTATCTACAGACCCACCAAGAAAATCCAACAAACGCTGCGTTCAGCAAAGGACAAGAGGGATCCTCTCACCTCGGCAGAAATCTACCCTATACCATGCAGCTGTTGACAAGTCTACAGATGGACCGCCAAACGCACCATTGCCCAAACATGAATCAAGGAACATGAAAGGCACTGCAGACTACTTCAACCAGAGAAGTCAGCCATAGCAGAGCACCTGATGAACCAATCTGGACACAACATATTATCTGAGAACACAGAAATGCTGGACCACTCTCACAACCACCATGTCAGATTACACAGAGAAGCCATTGAAATCCACAATTAGAATGTGGACAATTTCAACAGAAAGGAAGAAACAATGGAAATAAACAAAATCTGGCTACCAGTATTTAAAAGCTCTAAAATCATAACAATAAATAAAGAAGAACATTCAAAAACAGGGGAACATTTAAAAACAGGGGAACTCCAGACAATAAACAGATAATCCAGGACAGCTAATCACTTCTCAACGAAGGATTCCCCAGCCAGTAAGAAGCCAGTTCTAGAAAACTGCTAGGCCATTAAATGCTAATCATGGTGGCCAATTGAAACATTCACACCTACCTCCAACAGACAAGAGTTCTTTCACCCACTGATATATAAACCCAATTTTCCTAGTTTCCAACAGACCTCACAACCTCTGAGGATGCCTGCCATAGATGTGAGCGAAACATCAGAAGAGAATGCTTCTGAAACATGGCCATACAGCCCGAAAAACTTACAGCAACCCACATTCCTTCTCTTTTTTAAAAATACTTTTTATTGAAGGATAACATAGATTTTATAGATTAAAAAAAAGTTAAGGGATAGGAAAAATTGGGAGGAGTTGCAGTAATGGGGGGATAAAGAGAAGGGCGGGGAATAAAAGGGGAAGGTTGGGAATGGGGTTGGGGATTGAAAATTGTCTTCCCGTCCAGCAAGCCTGCAGCATCATCAATCTTCATTTTCATTTTTTTTAATGTCCTTTATTCAGGGCAATTTGTCTTCAGCTCTCGCAGAAATTCTTTTAGGAGAGACCAATCCGTTATGTATGTCTCTGTCTGGTCTTTAAGATGGGAAGTTAATATGTCCATGTCCATATGATCTCTTACTTTGGATATCCAATTCTCTAATGAGGGGATATCTTTTAAGCACCATTTCTGTGCTAAAAGAGTTCTCTCAGCTGACGTTAAGTAAAGGAAATTCTCTATTACTGTTGTAAGGAAGTTATTGAAACTAGGTATATGTATTTGAACTGTTTAACTATTTGTTTGGTAACAGTAGCTGAAAACTAGAACTAACTGGTTGTATTCACTGTGGCGTTGCCAAGGAGAACAGGCAGGAGAGAGTGGAAAGTGGGCGGAGCCTAGTGAGAGAAATCTATCTGCGTTTGAAAAAAAGCAGTCAGTTGGGGGTTTGGAGTCGGAGTTAGCAGTTGAGAGAGAGAGAGTGGGAAGTAGAGAAGCAGTGTTTGTGAATAGTCAGAGGTTTCTTCAGTTTAGGAAGGCTGAAGGGGAAACCTAATTAGTTTCATTAGTCAGAGAGGACCAAGAGAAGCTTGTTTAGATCACTAGTTAGAAATGAACTAGAGATCTGAGGTTTGATCACGAAAGGATCAAACAGGAAGGCTATTCACCTCAGGAAACATTGTTTAAGAAAGTGCTTCACCACAGTAAAAGTCAATTACAAGTTGTATCATCCAGAAGTGTGAACTGTATTGCAAACCGAGTTACATTTAAAGTTCTACAAGTTCTCTAAGTTATTCCAAGTAAACCAACAGCCTGCAACCATACGCTTTGTTCAAAATAAACTTGTTTTATTATTATTTTTGACCTATCCATCTGGTTTTCTATCACCCCATTGAAGTCTCCTAGAATTATCAAATTTTCATATTCTTGGTCCTGAATATTTCTTTTTAAGTAATCTACAAATTTACGTTTTTAGATCCGACCAGGGCATAGATATTACATAATAGTGAAGTTTGATTGCTTATCCTTACTTTGACACCTATGACCCGACCCTCCTGATCCTTAAAAGCCAGTTCTGGTTTTACTTTCTCTTTTATGTACAATACAACTCCTCTCTTCTTTTCTTGAGCTAATGAATAATACTCCTTTCCTAATTGTTTTTGAATAAGATGGGATTCAAGGTTTTGTTTAATATGTACTTCCTATAGAGCAATAATATCAAAACTACCAATTTTTGTTACATGAGTTTCCTTTTATTTGGGCTGTTCAGCCCCTTAACATTATCAGAGAAGACTTTCACCATCCTTGCATATTTCTTCCTCCGAATAGTCCTGATTCGCCAACTTCATTTCCAGTAACACATCATTTTCTTCTGGTGAATTTTCTCTTGGTCTTTTTTCAGGTTTTTTTCCGAACTGTTTGCTTCCTTTCTTCTTTCATAGAATCATAGAATCAAAGAGTTGGAAGAGACCTCATGGGCCATCCAGTCCAACCCCCTGCCAAGAAGCAGGAATATTGCATTCAAATCAACCCTGGCAGATGGCCATTCAGCCTCTGTTTAAAAGCTTCCAAAGAAGGAGCCTCCACCACACTCCGGGGCAGAAAGTTCCACTGCTGAACGGCTCTTACAGTCAGGAATTTCTTCCTCATGTTCAGATGGAATCTCCTTTCTTATAGTTTGAAGCCATTGTTTCGCATCCTAGTCTCCAGGGAAGCAGAAAACAAGCTTGCTCCCTCCTCCCTATGACTTCCTCTCACATATTGATACATGGCTATCATATCTCCTCTCAGCCTTCTCTTCTTCAGGCTAAACATGCCCAGCTCCTTAAGCCGCTCCTCATAGGGCTTGTTCTCCAGACCCTTGATCATTTTAGTCGCCCTCCTCTGGACAAATTCCAGCTTGTCAATATCTCTTTTGAATTGTGGTGCCCAGAATTGGACACAATATTCCAGGTGTGGTCTAAGCAAGGCGGAATAGAGGGATAGCATGACTTCCTTAGATCTAGACACTATGCTCCTACTGATGCAGGCCAAAATCCCATTGGCTTTTTTTGCCGCCACATCACATTTTTTGCCGCCACATCTTTGCTTGTCGCTCTCTTTCTCTTTTCTTTCCTTTTTATTTTTTAATTATTATTTATTTATTATTATTATTATTATTATTATTATTATTTATTTGTTCTTTATAATTTTGTGTTTTTGTGTTTAATTTATTATTATTATTATTTATTGTTTATTTTCCTTCTTTCTTTCTCCTCTGTTTTGCTTTCTCACTATGTTTCTGTATGCAGGACCTTCGTCAATCACCTTACTTGTTTTCTTTCTAGCCTCTTGCCTCTTATTTCTCTTCTCTCTTTTCTCGACTTATTCCTGTAGTTCAACTGGAAATTATTCCTACTTTGCCCTTCTTCTGCTTTACTTCTGCCCTTCTGGCGCGTCACGCACGTTGGTCCCGCCCCTTCCTGTGATGTGCTCTCCTACCTTCGCTGCTTCCATTTTCTCAGGGCTTGCTTTCTTTTTCTTAAAGGCACAGGGCAGGTAGGATGCAAGTTTGTTACTCTCTCTCTTTTTCTGGACCTTCTCTCTTCCTCCTCTTTTCCTATTTCTCCCACTGCTTTTGGGTTGTCTTTTTCCCTTGTTTGGTCTTGGTTTTGGAATTTAGGTTTGGTATCTTAAGTCATTCTTTTTTCCTTCTTTTTGCTTCGCTTTCTGCTGCTCTCTCTCTCTCTCTCTCTCTCCCCTAAAGGGAGCTGCGGCTGCAGCTCCTGCTTCTCGCGTCACTTGCTTTCCTTTAAGTTTCTTTCTTTGTCTTCTGTCTATTCTTCACTCTTTAAAATGAAGGCAGTCGGCTTTGCAGGGGCTCTGCGAGCCCTACTCCTCCTTCCATGGATGCACCTCAGTTGAGCTCCCAAAGGTTTGACGGACCTCCTTGAGGGAAGGTTTGCCCCCCTCCAGGTGCCCTCGGGAGAGGTTTGCAGCCAGTCTGGTCTCTTACCACCAGACTGGGGAGTCTTCTATCAGACACCCTCCGTTTGGAAGGGAGCAGGTCCACCGGATAACTAGGAGCTTTGGTGACCTGTGGCTGCCACCATGATGCCTTCACCGGAAGTCCAACCCACATTCCTTCTTCGTTTGTCCACAAAACTTCTATTTGTTCAACTAATCATAAACTGGAAGTTTTCCATGCAGGAACTGGGAGTCTAGAAAATTCTGTTTTATTTTCACTCTGCTAACCATTGAACACATTTAAAATTTCCATGAACAAGACAGAAAAACATATATCTAAGAAAACCTCCACAGAAGGTGGTTTGCTTAAAAACCTCCAGAGAAGGTGACTCATTTGTCCAAGGTATTAATGCTGACCAACAATGAGGTGGGCACTAGAATAGCAATGCCCCCCCCCCAATTGCCCGGCCTTTTGAATTAAGCTGGCTGGCATTCAGGGAATAAGTGACAAAGCCATTTAGAGCAATATTATCTATGGCCCAAGTTTCCTGCAGAAGGATCACATCGAAAGTAGAGATATAATTTCTAAAGTGGCTGTCGACCCATTTATTTGCCTAGCATGCAATATTTCAGGAGATTCCAGGAGATAACCTCATTCTCTTCAGTGGGAAACACTATTAGTGGAGAAACTGGATATGATTGTTTTCCTCCTTCATTTAGCACATATCCTGTGATAGTTACAACATTTCTATTAAAAAATACTGTTGGCACAAGTGAGATCGGTAGTAGCCTCTTCTTTGTGTTGCACAATTCCAATTTTTACCTTGGACATCGGGACGATTTGCCAAACTGAGGACTGCCCATTTCATAACTGTGGTGGTAGTTTCCAATCCAGCAAAATGGATGTCGTAAATAGAGTGAATCAGGTTCTCTTCATCCAAGGCAGAGGTAGGATCATTCTTATTCTTCTCCTGAAAATATAAAATGTGAAGTCGAATTTTTGACTGATCAGAAAGCCACTCCTCAATGCTGCTTTTACTCTTGTATATGTGTGCACATCTTGAAGTTGAATATCACCTGTTGACGTATAATAACCCCATTTAAAGATGGATAGAAAGCCGATCCAGTACTTACTTTCTCCATTTCAAGCAGGAAGTAATCAATGAAATCCCGTGGCTCCTGTGTGGGCTCTTGCTCCTTATGTTTCCGTAATTCTTCCTTTGATAGTGAAAGCAGGACCTCTGCGCTCTCGAATGCCTTCTTATGAGGCCCTGGAAGGCGGTCCATGATCGATGGGAATATTTCATACAGCTACAACAGATGAAAGCAAAAAGCCTGCCATTATTATGGAGGAGGCAAGGAAAGAGAGTTCATTGGCCAAAGCAGGTTTGACACACACAGGCATGTAGCCGGGGGGGGGGGGCTTGAGGGGCTTCAGCCCCCCCCCCCAAATTCTCATGGTGGTTTGCGAAAAGACCTTACTGGTGCATTATTTAAACTGTTATGTTTATTCATATCATGATCTGATCACCATACTCAATATATCCCATATGCATGGGGGTATTGGGGTAATGATACAAAAGGTTTGCTAGGCTAGACCCTCTTTCACTCAGACTCAGCCCCCCCCCGAAACTCAGCCCCCCCTGAAACCCCCCCTGAAAAAAATTTAACCCCCCCCCCCCCGAAATGAAATCCTGGCTACGGGCCTGGACACACACAAATTATTTTGAGATAACTAAATTTCTTGACTGTAAAGAAGGAATGGAGGTGAGGAGGATACCTGTCTCCTTCTTCCATAATTTTCTTCCACAATATATTCTGAACTTTCCCTTCCTGAGTAATTCTCTGTTCTCCCATTTTCTCAGCTGCTTTTCCATTTCCCGGCTTTACTTTTTGACTAGTACATTTCCATCTTTGTTTTCAGCTTCCTTCCAATACTGGAGTGTAAATTACTTTTGCCCTCACTCAGCAAGAGGGAAGAGTAAGGCTCAATCTAAAGCGATCTATAGTGATCTTTCCACTTTGAGTATTATTTCTCATATTTTTTTTTGTCTTGATCACATTTGATGTTGTCTTGGCCACATATTCTCCAGTTTTCATAAGTGAAATGTTGGTCTGTGTACAATAGAAGCAAATAATGGCATCGCTAGGGTTGGTGTCACCCTCGTAGTAACTCATAGTACAAACTATTAGAAATTCATGTGTATTTAACTAGAACACTGGTTCTCAACCTGTGGGTCCCCAGATGTTTTGGCCTACAACTCCCAGAAATTCCAGCCAGTTTACCAGCTGTTAGGATTTCTGGGAGTTAAAAACCTGGTGGTTCCAACAGGCTTTTGAAAATGATTAGCCCCAGGTCCTACCATGGCCATTAGCTAGGTTTCTGCTCTGCACTTTACCCACTTCCCCTGAAGTGACACTGATGTAGGCACTCCAAATGCACAAGTCCTCAATGCCCCAATGTAGCCATGCAAGGAAGAAGCCATAAGTTGGATTCTTACTACAAAGGCTTTATTGCGTGGCCATAGCAATAGCAGCAAACATGCATACAGAAATGCAATCAAAGGGTTTGTTGTGATATCCAATGGGGCTGCAGAGTTTTATCTTTTTTGGCAGTAAATTGAATATAAATTCTCGCTGGTTTCCAAAGACAAATCATTTCCTTGGTCTAAGCTACCTTACTGGTTCTTTATTATTTTGATTGACATGATAGCACACGTGGGGACCCTAACAATGGCACAACTATAGTCAGAG